GCGCGTTTGCCAGCAATAGGGCCTATGCGCTTTCCCCGTGCTCCGGAACCTGGAAGACTTTCTATCGAGGATTGATTCTACGTGCACATCTAGAACTTCATCAAGGGAACTATTACTTGTTTAGAAAATATTGACGACACCGATTTACCAGATCCTCTCATCCGCAGGCATGGTCGGAAAGTTTAGTCATCCTCTGACAGAGACAGCGACGACGTTATCCGCAAGCTACCCTTAATATACTGCCGTGTGTCCCATGCGTTTCCCTTGGCACAGGATTCACCTAATGTAACATTGGCATGTGGTCTTTTCAATGTAAGCATTGCCTGGCTCGGTTCATATTCAGCTCGTATGATTGACGCGGACTTGGGTATACTACTTGACCAATGTTCATCACAGTTACTTTGGGTGATTATTTTTGATCGCCTTTCGATACAACATCTTGAAGTCTACGAAGACGGCCGTGTTACCATCAGTCACCAGCGAGTGCACAGTTATTGCACTTCATATGGGCGGCAAGAGGGAGTTCCATACCACTCGCTAAGTTCGTCTTCCTTCCGTAGCAGGCGATAATTACATACTTGCATGCAATGTTTGCAGCTTGAAGCTTGAACTTGAGTAACCAGCGGTACAGATTAAGCTCCCACTGACTCGCATTTCATACACTCATACACATCTATCTGCAGCGTCTCATCGACATCGCTCTGTTGTGAGGTCATGAATGAGTATCTGTGTTCGCGTTTGTATTCAGCCGCAGCCCCAAGATTTTTCTCAGGTCAGATCTGTACATGTATAGCTAGATATTTGCGGTCTATACTGCCTTATGATCCTACTGACCCACAGCATGCTAGCTTCCTCGCGATTCATCAAGTCGTTCTTCCTCCCCCACACGTGCTTCACCACCAGTACATTTATCGCTACGTCATTTGCGTTCGCGTTGATGCACGATAGCCTCCAAATCAACGCGTTGGGTGTCGCATAAACTGCGGGAGGTCTGACCCAAGCTGATCCATCCGATTTGGGCTATGGTGCGAAGGCAGGTGACCCTCGTTATCTAAAGTAAAACCAGGACGACGGGGTCTCGGTCTTGGCCAAAGTCGAGAAAAAACTATTTGCATCGGTGGCAGTAATGATTTGTGCCATGACATGCGCAGGGGTCAATGGGAACTCCAGGGGAGCGTAAGTGTTATCACACGAAGCAAAAGAGAGCAGAGAGTACCAAACTATTGCTTAAAATTTATGAGAAAGTAAGCGCAAAATAAGCGCCTTAACCATTGATGCGGAATTGACCGAGAACTGTGTACGTTTAAAGTTAAGGTTGCAAGAGACTGTCGGGACTCGGTAGAGACGTCGAACGAACCGACGAAGTCTGAAGACCCTCCTCCACTACACATCATAGATTGCAATTTCAGTGGGAGATCCTCTGTCGACATTTTTCGAATTGGCTAGATCTAAGGTACACAACCACGCATATCTTTTCAAACTGGTGAGTGTCGGTTTACACCGCAAGTCCTCATACTCACTGTATTCACGCCCGAGCATGCTCCTTTATGCGTTCCAGGCGCAGGGTCATGTACTTCGTCATTCACATCATGACCGTTGATGCTGTATGATCTCAGTCCTTTCGAAAGACACTAGGAAGCTTGCTATGAACCGAACAGGAGCCAGCCCAAATGACATCACTCGTCACACCCACCCATGTATATAATAGTCTAAGCTTCCCTTTGAACAACACTTCTTTTGAATCTCCCGAATATTCTCCCAGTCAGACAGCAATGTTTTTGACCCGAATATCTCTATCAGGTCATCAAGGCCCTTGAGGAAGAGGAGCACGCTGTACGGTCCAGCGTGTCGCATAGTGCTGCGGCCCGTCATTCAGACCCTATGGATACATGAAGATCTAAATGTCAGCTCCGCTCTTATTGCAATAATCACACGCTGATCAAAACACGTGTTTGTGATAATTGTACAGTGCATGTATCAGAAGTCATACTGTGTTACCGTGGTGTAATAAAACTACAAATGACAAGCAAAGTTGGACCAAGCTATGTGTTGTACAGACGAGGTTAGGACGACGGCAATGATGATTCTGCCGTGTCCTTCGGCACTGCAAGTGCCTTCCATAGATCAAGTTCGGTTTGCATCTGAAATTCAGGACAATTAATCAAAGAAGACTGTCGATGCTGAAAATATGTAAGTACCTTCACAATTTTGCGGTCGTGTTCGTCAATTTCAGGTTGCTGGTCAGCGCGGCCTCATTCCACAAGCTGCAGGGACAAGTATCATCAATCAAGGAAAGGCTGTAGTTGCTGAAAATCTAATGCATACCTTGTTGCGTTGTTCAAGAAAAAGATATTGCTGGTGCTCCACCTCCTTCTTGGTTTGCTCATAAGCTTTCCTGAAACCATCATGTATAGAAGTGACGTCATCTAAGGATGGTTTATATACTGGGATGGGACCAAAGTGGCCACAAATGTCTGGATCAAATACTTTCTCCAGCCCCTCCTCCGCAAACAGGGCTTGCAAGCTCTTGAAAACAGTATTGCCGAACCAATAGCATTGACCGCCAAGGGCGTTGTAGAGATACAACAATTGCTGAGCACTACACAAAGTAAGTAGCCAGCAATATAAAAATGTTGTGGTCGTGCACAGCCTAGTCTGCTTTACTTGCAAGACAAGTGCGTTCGACCAAGGGGTTAGCTATTGGATTGGTCTGTAGTTAGTGAAATGATAAATCGGTCAAAAGTCCGAGCACGGGAAACAGAGTCCAAAGGTATATCTACGATGTCCGACGCCAAAGCGTTGGGTCCGATATATGATAATGATGGGTATTTCGGATAGAAAGAGCGGTAATATTCGCAATGTCAACTAAGAACTACGAAATATCGGGTTTGACCATGAGATATCGGGAAACGGCTCCCTACTACTTGGATCCTCCAAATACTCATAGTCAGTCCAATATATATATAAGTACATAGAAATCCGGAACCCTATAGGCGAAAGTAGTGGCCGACGATTTCGGGTCCGAAGTACATGTAAACTAACATGAGGCGCTGCGGATGATGGGAAAACATGTAATAGTGCTTGCTACGACATGAGTAATGTGTGAAATAATCAACTACGCACCTAGTGGGGCTAGCAAGACGGGATGGGACACGGATAGGACAAGTGTGCGGGAAAATATCGGGTCCGATGCAGCCGAAACGTCGGGTCTGCTAGTCAAAGCGTTGGGTTTGCGTTGGGTTGTGCGGGTTACATCGGATAGTGATGGGCATTGAACATGTATCGGGAAATCAGTGAATACGAGCCTAGTGCGAGCTCGAGTGCTACAGCGTAATATTTGGTGGTATATTGGTTCACTTGAAACAATAGGACTGCAACTTGCAATGCAGAAGGCCCTGTGGATTGAAATTGAAGTGAAGCAATGCGTCTGAATGATTGGAATCTTTCTGTTAGACACGCTTTGATGTTTGATTTGCTAGCGTGACCAATCAAATAAATCGTGTCTTTTGCGAGGTTCTCCGATGATGTTGATGATGATGGTGTCAGCATTCCCAAAGACTGTCTGATGGTGATGTTGACAGAACGGTCGACACAGATAGTGGCTTTGGCTGTGGGGTGGACATAGTGTGCAAAATATAGCACAAGAAACTCGTGTTCTGGTGTCTGGGAACACTTGAAGTGTTCAACACATTCCAGAAATCAACGCATGTAATGGTTTGTTCCATCAGCATCTATGTCTGAGAGTTTTTTCTTGTAAAGGTCGACACTGATGAGATGCATAGTGGTAGGAGACTTATCAGCAAACAAGAGGTAAGGGAGGTCTTGAGTGGTGGGAGGTTCTGACATGCCTAATCGTTGAAGGTAGCTGACTGCAACATGTCTGATACTGGTTTGATATTTTATAGACATGGGGCATGTGCCTTGCGTTCAATGCGTTGCCAGCAGACAACTGAAGACTACATACCTGGGCGTTATCCCTGCAAACCTCATCGCATTATTCAAATTCAAGGCTGACTCATAGTAAAAGTGGGTTATGGCATACATACACGCAAGGTCAAATTCAAAGTAATTGCTTAGCTGCATCACTGGGTATTAGTTCTACATACTATATGATCATATCTTTCAAGTTAAATGAAACAAATACATTGAGAAATGGTGTGTCCCGTATCAATTTCAGCGGTGTGTCCCCTATTAGTTTTAGCGCATGGTGTGCTGTGGCATGCTAATTTCGAACCAGTATCACCTGCCGCAGCTGCCGATGTCGGTCATTAAATTTAACAATTCAACAGAGCGTGTTTCATGCACTGCGGCAGTCCAAGTCGAGTCACAGACCTCACAATCCATCTATGTATCAATACCCACTGGCACATCTACATACATTTCCTCAGCTGAATTTTACACAGCATTAATTTAGCTCTCCGTGCATACTGTAACTCACATATGTACTACTTAGTGTCATCCTAATCAATTACTATTGAGGTGAGGGCCACCACTTATGTGCAGTGGCCAAATTGACCAATGCGGTAAGCTCTATCCCTAAGCATTGTAGCGCGCGCGATACTAGTAGCCAATAAAAATTATTCATTGTTTGACTCTTTGCCAGTCACACTGATGGCCTCACCTCCCACAAGAAGCTTGCTGCCACCTGCGCGAGAGCAGCACAACGATTTGAGTTGACCTGAATTTGCCCAAATATAATAAATCATAGTGGATAACGGTGTATGATGACCTAGGCAAACTTATGAAGGAAAACAAATGCAGGAACCTTGACGCAAGATCATGGCGCTGTCCAATATGGTCCCCCATAACAATCACTTGTGTATGGAAAGCCGGAGCACCGTGCTCGTTTGATCAGTGTTTTTGGTCACGTGCATTGCCTGATAAGGTAAAGAGCTTCGACAGGACTCCTGACACGCCTCCAAACAGGTATTTGCGCAAATAATTCAGACTTCGAGCAAAGTAAACAAAACAAAAGAAGTAATTACAGATACACTAACACACTAGGCACCGATATCACCATTGCCACTGAGTATTTCGTCTATGAAGGTATCAACTTCAGCAGCACTGCCCTTGAAGAGGCATGGCTCCGGAAATTTGGCGACACTCCGCAGGACAACCGATGAAGAACTATGGTGTCCCGCAGCGCTATGTGGCATGGTGGGGAACTTCAAGTTGAGGGCAGCTATCTTGTCAGTGATGTCCTCGAGAGCATGTCTGATGGTGCACTGATTCTCGTCTAGGCAAAATGAGCTTTGTCCGAGTGCTGCAGTGATAGCATATTAGTGCTGCTGGTGTCCAGTTCAGAACTTCGGTTCAGACCTAAACCCTTCTGAATCGGACTGTAGGTTCGGTCCCAGGTTCAGCATGTTGTGAGAACTGAACAGTCCGAACCCATCATTCCAGTCGATACATGTACACACTCCTGGAAGACAATCAAATTCTTGGCATCAGGGTATGCTGCAAGTTTGGTGTGGTGTTCTTGAACGCCAAGGATGAGGAATTCGAAGAGCACCTGCATGTATCTGAGCTCCAATGAAATTTGAATTCTGATAAGCAGTGGTTACATGCAGATGTCAGCCACATGTCAGCGCACCAAGATTTCTGGAGAGAAAACAGCAAGCTGGAGGTAAGAGACACCGACAAAGTTAACATGAGCAGGAAATATAACCGCGTTCACATTACAAGCAGAAGTTTGCCCTCCTCATACCGAAGACAGACCCAGGTAAGAACCCAGATGAACAATTCAGCATTATACGCATACACACGCTTGACCTTGCCTGCCATAGCGTCTGGCATGAGAAGGTCTACCACCATGAATGATACCGTTCCTGTGCGCCTGAGGCCCCTGGGACCATCACGTTTGAACGACAATAAGTCATAGTCATTGAGAACAGCCATGAATTGACCACGTAAGTGGTACCCCAAGAGATTGTGATCGCAAACCCAGATGTAAATATAGTCGTCTGGAAGGAGTAGTGCTGTCATAGTCCGGTTCAGTCTGGTTCAGCGAAGGGAGAGGAAGAACCATAAACTGAACCTGCATCCGGTCGGTTCAGAATGGTTACGTCCAGTTCTCTCGATGCTTGAATGTGAACCGGACCAAATGATAGATCATATTTTCAAAAATAAGACATAGAGTGAAGACTCGGACTAGATTTCAGGAATTAGTAGAAGGAATGTAGTACATGGTACCAACAAACGCACCACTGGATTTTCTGAGGCATCTCTGTGTTCACTATGGTCCAGTTCACTCTCACCGGTGTAGGGATTCATTTCTGGCTGGGCTTGCAGAGACTGTTTTTACCTTAGTGTTATGTTTGCACTTTTGTAGCTTACATAATCAAGTTACCTTTTCACCAGTTCTACTATGAGTCTGAGTATTCAGCAAGTTTCTATCATATTTCCTCTTCTCTGAGCCTTGAGCCTGGTCCAGAAACCCTTTAGGGTCGAATAGCAGCTAGGTTCTGCAAGACCCAACATTGTTCAGACTCACCATCTGAATAGTTGTACCTTCACCGGCATCTGTCTCTTCGGGCGCAGGAATATAGCCATCGGATAATAAATCAAACCCATCAGATAATGGATCAAGCAATGTATCATACCCATCAGATAATAAACCATCTAGTTCAGGAACAGTAGGACTACTATCACAATCATCATCAGAGTTGACTGCCCGTGTGGTAGCCCTGTTTTGCCTTTAGCAGGTCAGCTACACTTGATAATGCTTGTTTGCGGCATCAGTAAAACACCACATTGCTTAAATTAACTTAATGGGCTTGAATTGGTGTCCAAGTCAGAATAAGTTGGTCTTTCTCAAAGACGCTCATCTTAATATAAGCTTCGCATCTTAGACTCACATATGACTTAATAGAACTTGAATTTCGCGCAGTAAGAACAAATAAGCTCTAAGTTTGCAAGGCCAACAAGATGCAAATTGTGCAGACAGTAAAAAATCAACAAACAAATAAAAATGATCAATCAATTAATTGGCTGATATGGATGGGGAATGGGCACAAATACGACAGGGAGCATCATGGGCCCGGGCCCAGGCAAGTAAAACACAGAACATGAGTGCAACAGGACCGCACCCATGCACATCATTTTCTTCTGAGGAGGTGCAAATACAACAGAGAGCATGGGCCCGGGCAAGTAAAGTGCAGAATACGAGCGTAACAGGACCGCACCTGTGCGCATCATTTTCTTCTGAGGAGGGCGAGTGCATTGAGATATGTATATAACCGGCAACAAAAAAAAATGACCACCGAATGAGCTCCTGCAAGACAGACAAAACTGTTTGCCAATTAACAATGAGTTACATGTGGGGGTGAACACCACTCACCTTCAACGGAATGCAAAGAGGTCAGCAAATACATCATCCTCATCAGGCGCATCACTGGTGGTAGTCCCTGAGTTCCCAACACTTTTTGCATGCTTGGCATACTGTTGTGCCTCCTCAACAATGCTCACGAAGATGTCGTCGGAAAGTGCTACAATGGGCCCCATGAGCTTGACGGTGTAAAGAGTTGATTCTATGTGGGCGCTACAAAAGTGTTACCTTAAGACTCAGAGTGCAAGTGAGATGTTCGTCCCAAAGAGACTGCCTATAGAAATGCTCCTTGATATAAAGCAAGGGATATCTTGTTAAGATCGAAGTGAGAGAAGGAAAATTTACCAAGAGTGCACTTGGTGTTCCGAGGATATGTCCAAAGTACCGAAGTACTTGTCCGAAGTGGTCCGAGGGTGGTCCGACATCTAGAAACGAAGGTCCGAGGTTGCGCGAAGCATCCGAAGAGCTTCCGCTGAACAGCGAAGGTTCCGAGAGAAGTATGGCGGGTGTATCGAAGTATAAGACTTGCGAAGTATAACTAAGCAAAGACTATTGGGAGAACTCAGAGACAGTGAAGAGCGAGATGGTAGCGGTCAGGCCAAACAATCGTTCTGAATGAACAAAGATCGATTGCGCGAAGTACAACTATCCGAAAGTAACTCTACTAACTATGACTCGTAGCAGGGAAAGTGAAGTGAAGTGCGAGTAGCTAGCGAGGCAGATTATATCCTACAGCGTGAAGGTCCGGAAACTGCATAGGCGAAACCAGTAGCAAGATAAGACATCCGAAATGTAATAAGACTCAAGGCAAGCCGCTACAGAGATATACATGTAATAAGGCGCAAGGCGTGTTCATTGTGCGTATAACCGACGGGCCGACAACATATGTGCCCCTAGACATAATCAATAACAGATAACCAAGTGGAAAACACACCAGCGAAGTCAAATGGACACGGAGGATCGGAACTGTATACAGGCCTCGGAAATGGACGGATGACCTTCGGACAACTCGGACGAACGCACGGAACTCTCGGAAGGTAAATGGAGTGTCGAGGAATGTGTATGTGGAATACCTATGTGTTTGGCAGGATACGAGCCCAACGCCGATCCGAGTGCTACAACGGTCATATGCCCCCAGATAGGTTTACTGAAAGCAAACTGCTCGCCCTTTGTGATGACGGGCGTCCAGATATCACCGCCATCGGTCTTCATGCCTTTGCGTTTGCCACAGGATTCTTGAATGACTTCGAAAGTGATGTTCCCATCGATGATTAGCTGGAGAGTACAATAAACCTGAAAAAAAAAAATTAAGAAAAAACACAGCAGAAATTGAATCACTTACAGCAGTAAAAGCGAGGGCAAATGCAGCCCGATGTAGCACTGGAGCTCGCGCTGAGCATGTATTCTCTTATTTCTCGATACACGTCCAATGCCCGTTACGCACTAATGTAACCTGATGCTAACCCGCACAACCCGACGCAAACCCGACACTTTGACTAGCAGACCTGACGTTTCGGCCGCATCGGACCCGATATTTTCCCGCGCACTCGTCCTATCCGTGTCCTGTCCCGCCTTGCTAGCCCCACTAGGTGCGTAGTTGATTATTTCGCACATTACTCATGTCATAGCAAGCGCTATTACATGTTTTCCCATCATCCGCAGTGCCTCATGTTAGTTTACATGTACTTCGGACCTGAAGTCATCGGCCGCTACTTTCGCCTATAGGGTTCCGGATTTCTACGTACTTATATATATATTGGACTGACTACGAGTATTATCATTATCCAAGTAGTAGGGAGCCGTTTCCCGATATCTTGTGGTCCAACCCGATATTTCATAGTTCTTAGTTGACATTGCGAATATTACCGCTCTTTCTATCCGAAATACCCGTAGTTATCATATATCCGCATACTGCTCGCTTTCCCGACGTTCGCTATCACCATTCCTGCTAACCCGCTAAACCTGAACCCAAAACCCGCTAAACCCAAAACCCGAAAACATCGGACCTGACGCTTTGGCATCGGACATCGTAGATATACCTTCGGACTTTGTTTCCCACGCTCGGACTTTTGACCGTTTTATCATTTCACTAACTACAGACCATTCCAAATAGCTAACCCCTCGGGTCGAATGCACTTGTCTTGCAAGTAAAGCAGACTAGGCTGTGCATGACCACAACATTTTTATATTGCTAAACACTTACTTCGTGTAATGTCCAGCAATTGTTGTATCTCTACACCGTGCACTAATGCTCTCGGTGTCGAGGTCAGGGACTTCAACACGGCCAAAAGTGAAATTGAGGTGCGATGCGAATGTCTGAAGTATGAAGGGAGATCTCCACATGCCCGTCCAGTCCTTTGAACAGACAATTGAGATGATTTCATAGTAATAATTATGGGTACTTACCTTAGGAATGAGTCCTGAATTATCCCTGAAAATAAACCGGTTATGTTTCAGCATGGCCCTTGAAAAGTCCTTGCGAGCCACAGTATCTGAAAAATCGGCATCCTGTGCGAAAAATGCGGTAAGGATGGAGCAGGCTGCGATACCGAACCCTCTGCGCAATTCCATGAAGCATTGTTTGGCCTAGTACAAATGTCAGTGAACTTCTGAATGAAACAAAAACTATGGACTTACCACTTTCATAACGGCACCAGATCTGGAGATCTCGTGCTGAATCTTGCCCCGATATATATGGTTCCACATCTCTTGCATGGTGTCTCTTAAATCGTCGTCTTCAGGACCCCAAGGCTCAGCTTCTCCACCAGCCCAGTGTGCGACAGTTGGTATGAACACCCGACACCAGGTGTTACCATCCTGGCATCCCTTGGGAAGATCGTCGTTCTGGTACCAGTGATTGGCGCCACTGCCATCACAGTGTGATGTGATGTTCTTAGTCTGCGGCTCAGTCTTTGCTTGTTTTGAGGAGAGTGCTTGGCTATTGATGCTGATGCTGGTCTATGTTTAGTGGAGAGAAAATCAGACAGATATCACAAAATAAGTACCGACTTACTGAAGTTGTCAGGCGTTTGGTGCCTTTTGCTGACACAGGGGCAGGAGGTGGTGGTGTGTCCTCGCTCTCGCCAAACTCAATGTGTGTTGACAGGTCGCTGATGAACTCAGTTGGGATGAACCTGGTGGTGGCTCTGGACAGTTGTGTAGAAGGGGGGACACGAGGAGGGGGGGAGGATAAGGACTCGGTCCTTGCCATTATTGGTGGGCATTTTTTTGGTCGTGATGGAGGCGGCAATAATGAACTACTATCGCTAACCTCCAATACATCCTGAGTGGGGAGTGAGTGTGATATGAATGCGCAAAAGATAAAAGAAATACCATAGAAGATGTGTGCCTGGCACCAGGCTTTTTAGTAGCCTTGAAGGCAGCCTGACGCTCGAGTGAATTGTCCTCGTCCAAAAACGCTGTGGTAGGTTCTTCAAGATTGCCTTGGACATTGTTTGTGGGGTGTGGGCTGCAAGTGGGATTAGCACTGGCACTAGTCACTTTTGATATCTTTGAGACAGCAGTTGAGGTGGTAATCGAGGACACCTGTCTGTGTGATGTGGTTCAAAGGCTTTCAAGTTGAGGCCGGAGCAACTTGCTTGTTGCAAGTTTCTCAGCCCAGTCCTTTGTTTTCCCCATCCCCGCATAGTTGTCCTTGGCTGCGCAGACATCCGCACTGAATCAATTGAGGCGATCAAGATGAAAAAGTGTTGTTTCGGTGAGTAACAACATGGTAGTAGATGGGAACAATTAGAATCACTTACATGAATCCTTTCTTGCCTTTCTGGTCACCATGTGCCTTTGTGCGATCAGCATCTGATACAACATCATTCTGATGGCTCATGCCATCATGTTTGATGCCCGTATTATTAACACTTCGCTCAGCATGGACAGCCTCACGATATGCTGTCTTCTGTAAACACTTGTTCCTCAGCTGCACCTCTGCATTCTCCTCCTCACTGGATACAACATGGTCAGCCCGAGTGTGCATGGTGAGTCCCCTAGAAACTTACCTTAGATAAAAGTCCTCATCGCCATCATTATCATCTGCAGCTACATTACTCATTTCAACATCCTCCATCTCAGCCGCACCTTCTGCAATCCCATCATCGTACTCGACGTTTGGCTCGCTCACCTTTGACTTTGAAACAGGACGCGCCTGAGGCTGAGGCTTTGGTGCATGCATGAGGATCTTCAAGTCCTTCAACACCTTCTTGTCTTCAATAGAGGCAATCTTCTCGGTGGTGCGCTGAGCGGCAGCTTCCTTCTCCTGCCGTTCATGCTCAACTTGCTCGTTGTCTTCCTGGATTTGACAAGCAGTGTGTCTTTTCCTTTTGTTTTGGAGGAGAATCTCACCAGGATGCTGGTTTGCATTTTTAGGACGAGTGTTTGGGCGCATCATTGTTTGAAAGGTTGGGCTTGCGGAGGAGAAAATTTATGGTGTAAGGCAGAGTGGTCGCGATGGCCTTTGAAACTTTAAGTTACGTGTCGCACACCCTGTTTTGTATGTATTACATTACATTCTACCTAGCGTGTTTGCTAATGGTTCGGGCTTTTCAGTTGGTTTTCCAGGATTCTTCCCATCCATCATGCCGGATGAGATCTCTCATGTGCAACTCAAACGACGGGCGTTTAGTGCCCAGCGCATTCAATGTTCCTACCCAGGCTGCAAACACTGGTTGAAAAATGCCTCTGGGCTGAAGCATCATCAAAGCTCGGCCCATAGCCACTCGTTTACCCATCCTGGTTCGCAATGCATGCAACGTGCTTCTGTTGAAGAAATCAAAGATGAAGAAGCTCAGAGACGCACCAACAACGAGCTCTGGGAGTTAAAGCATGGACTCATTCGGGATTATCACGAGACGCTGACTGGTAAGTTGATAGTCATGCTGCAGTACCAGCTTGTATCTGATGAAAACCTATACCCACAGGTCGTATTTGTGATGAGAATGGCAACTTTCTCAATCCTGGTACTCCTCCTCCACCATACACGGCAAAAAGTCCTGACGACTGGACTCCGTATCGCAACCGACTAGAGTTTGAGTGTGCGAATTTTATATACACTGAAAACCAGATGTCCGCTGGTGATATCAACAAGATTCTCTACTTGTGGGGAATCACTCTCGCTGTTCATCATGACAATCCACCATTTGCTGACTACAGGGACTTATACAATACTATCGACGCAACACCGCTAGGTGATGTTGCATGGGAAAACTTCTCCCTGAAGTACAACGGCAATAAACCCACTGGAGAGTGTCCGCTCTGGATGGAACAGTCATACGAGGTTTGGTTCCAGGACCCTCATACTGTCGCCAAGAACATGCTCGCGAATCCAGATTTCAAAGGTGGAATAGATTATACACCCTACCGTGAATTTCAGGAGAAGGATGAGCAACACCGCTATAAGGACTTCATGTCAGGAGACTGGGCCTGGCAGCAAGCAGTACATATTTTGTGTCTGGTAGTACTACATTCTTATGTTGATGTCATGTACAGGACGAAATTGCACAGGACCCACAAACACATGGTGCAGCTTTCATTCCCATCATCATAGGCAGCGACAAGACAACAGTGTCCGTCGCTACCGGTCAAAATGACTACTATCCTTTGTATCTTTCGATTGGAAACATCCACAATAATATTCGGCGGGCGCATCGCAACGCATTGGCTCTGGTTGGATTCTTGGCAATCCCTAAGAGTATGTACCAGTTTCTCTCCCAATCTACTTTGACGTTTACACTATTGTATACAGCGGAAAAAAAGAATTCAGATGACATAAAATACCGCAAGTTCAAGAAGCAGTTGTTTCACTCCTCGTTGTCGAAGATCTTCGCCAATCTCAAACCTGGAATGACGACTCCAGAAGTCACATGATGTGGTGATGGACACTACCGGCACATTATATATGGACTCGGACCCTACATTGCAGACTACGAACAGCAGGTGGTATTGGCATGCATGGTCAAAGATTGGTGTGGAAGGTAAGTGGCTACCAGAGATCCTCAGGACACTGCCTATTCACATCCACATTCATTTTATGCCGAGTCTCATTTACATTTGCAGATGCCTTGCATTTCCCTCAAATCTTGATGAAGGAGGTGTTTCTCGGTCACATGAACACACTGATGCGCTTGTGGATTCTGTCGATTTTGGTATACTTTGGGATGAGTATGGTATTATTGGCGAGCTAGTGGTATGTTCCCCCCACATCATTTGTGCGTGGTTGTGATCGCACTAACTGTCGCACTTCATAGCCCTTCACCAACGACTTTCCTCGTGCTGACATTCATGAGTTGCTCGCCCCCGACATACTGCACCAGCTCATCAAAGGAACATTCAGGGATCACCTTGTTGAATGGGTGGGTCAATACCTCGAACTCACACATGGAAAAATGTGTGCCAAGGCAATTTTAGATGATATTGACCGAAGGTACTTTCAATCTGCCACTGTCTATCATGATGACTGACAATACACTAGAATTGCTGCCGCACCACCCTTCCCTGGCCTACAACACTTTCCGCAAGGGCGTGGATTCTCACAATGGACGGGCAATGACTCCAAGGCACTGATGAAGGTACATTTTTGTGCTTTAATTATCTTGCGTTTGTTAAATTTACACAACTGTTTATCTAGGTCTATCTACTGGCAATACAAGGCCATGTACCAGACGATATGGTTCAGGCATTTCGAGCCTTGCTAGAGTTCTGCGACATCGTGCGCACGGATGTGGTTACAGACGACACTCTCACAGAGCTGAAAGATGCCCTTAGGCATTTTCATACTTACTGTACCATTTTCCAGACTACCAGTGTCCGTTTCAACATTTCCCTACCCCGACAACACTCTCTCATCCACTATGAGCTTCTCATCCGAATGTTTGGTGCTCCAAATGGCCTCTGCTTGTCGATCACGGAATCAAAACATATCACGGCGGTAAAGCAACCATGGCGACGTTCAAGCAAGTACAATGCACTCAGCCAGATGCTCCTTGCCAATCAGTGCCTGGACAAAATCACAGCAGCAAGAGTTGACTTTACAATGTGTGGCATGCTCAAAGGGTCTTGCACCTTCAGCTACTACAATTCATTTTGTACATGGTCTGCATGATTTTAATTGAATTTTACTCATTGAATTTCCAGTTGAGAATCCCTCATATATTGGCAATGATGATGGAGACCCGGAGGTCCAACAGAGCCGAGCACGTGCAGCGAATAATCCCTTTGCTACTGAGAGCGATGACTTCGATGATGTTGAGGATCAGGGCATCATGGATGACATGGATGTCATTGCTGATGTGCAGTTAGCATGGACTTGTCGTGCATATTCAACCTTTTGGTGACCTTCTTTCTTAACACAACATTCAGAACAAAAACACGCCCGCACCATTGCTGATCTTGCAGGTGAACTTGGCATCCCATCGTTCCCAACCCTCATTTGTCTCTTCTTGTACGACCAAATACATGCAGATGACCACCATTCTTCTGCCGACATTCCACTTTGCAACTGTCCATCCTACATGGGACCAATCAAGATTTTCCATTCGGCCACTGCAACTTTTGTTGCACCCAGTGATCCAAGTGGAATCACTGGCATGCACCGTCAGCACATCCGTGCTGCGCCTTCGTGGCGCAACGGACCAGGCCGCTTTGACTGCGCCTTTGTCAACACGGATGATAGGCATGATGGAATGTTAAGCATGGATGTTGTTCGAATATTCTGCTTTTTTTCTTTCACTTTCACTAACGGTCGCACATATCCATGTGCCCTCATTCACTGGCTCTATCGCATCACCAAGGAATGAGACGAGCTCACAGGAATGTGGATGGTGGCACCATCTTTCAACAAAGATGGCTCTTGTGATCTGTCAATCATCCATATTGACAGTATCATTTGTAGTGCTCACTTACTCCCAATATTTGGTACACAGTTCGTACCATGCGGTCTTCAATTCTATGATTCTCTGGATGTCTATCGAGGATTCTACGTAAATCGGTTCATAGATCACCATGCTTTCGTGCTGGCATCTTAATACACTCATTTTTCTTGCAACACTTAAGTTTAAAAATTGTCTTGAAAATGCTTTTCAGCTCTGAGTGTCTTTGTCGGCTTGATGTTAAGACATTCAAGTCGCCCTCCAAGTCAAATTGAGACCTTGGACATCTTGACATACTTGGGCACCAAACCAAGTGGAGTAAGTTCTAAATAAGTTAATTTAAGCAATGTGGTGTTTTACTGATGGGGCAGAGGATGGGGCAGACTAGTAGTGTTGCGGCTCGGCTATGGCCGGTCCGGGCTCGGCTCTTACCAATTTCACAGCAGTTCGGCGATTCCAATGAACCAAGTTACTCATGTACAACTTGGTCTGGTTCGCAAGGCACCTGAACCAGCGCAAATTGCAACAAGCCAAGAATGTGGGAAGAATGGCTTGAGCCGGCCTCAAGCCAGCTGGAGGGGGTTGCATTCGTTGCGTCACTTGCGTCGTGAACTCATTCTCCAACATATCCCCACTATTCAGTTGGATCCACTGTAAGTTACCATGCATAAGGTCCTGGTTCAAGTGGATGGGAGATTTAGGCTGGGAGATGTCTTAGGATCTGGCTCATATGGCATGTAGTCAAATTTATTGTTCTGGTTCAGATTCACTTATGTTGTACAACTTAGCTGTCGTATATTCTGCGTGGAATATCATCAATGATGATCACGTTGCCCTCAAACTCGAAACCATTGTCAACCACTCATCTTCTGTCGAGCGTGAATACTATATTTTGAAACAACTTGAAGGCGGAGTTGGCATCCCACGCACCTTCTGGTTTGGTAGAGAGTCAATGCATCATGTTCTGGTCCTTGAACTCCTTGGGCCGTCACTCCACCAATTCTTCCTCACAAACAATCGAAGATTCAGCCTTCTCAATGTTGTCAATCTTGGAGTCCAGTTGGTCAGTCATTTGGTCCAAGGTCTTTGCAGATAGGTTGACTGACTTTCCCAGCTCTCGCGTCTTGAGTACGTTCACTCACACAATTATGTTCACGGCGACATTAAACCGCAGAACATCTTGGTGGGTCTCAGAAATTCGAGGCACACCGCCTATATCATCGATTTTGGAATCACGAAGACATACTGGAACACTAAAACCAGTGACCATGTACCATTTCGCCATGGTCGAAGTCTCTCTGGTACTCCTGCATTCGCCTCAATCAACAATCACCTAGGAGTTGAGCCAGGTCGCCGTGACGATCTTGAGTCGCTCACTTACATGCTAATCTATTTTTTGCGTGGCTCCCTTCCATGGTTAGCCAGTGATGACGAGAAATTATCCAGCTCTACCATACTCGAGCGCAAAGCACACACTACCATTGCAGAAATATGCCATGACATCCCCGTCGAATTCGCAAACATTCTTATTTACACCCACTCTCTCGCATTCACTGAAGATCCTGATTATGATCATCTTCGTTCACTACTACATGGTCTTCGTGCCACATTGCCTGCACCGGCTACGTGCTTGTTGGATTTTGGCCAACCCAATGGTCCTGGGACTCCTCGCTGTCCTGCCATACACCCCCTTCTATCTCCTGACCAGCGCTGTATGGCCAAAGCAATGTCAATATGCCTGCCAAAGGCAGTATGCCGATCAACACATGTGTGAGTAACATGTTTCTTTCATATCTTTGAACCAAAGTATAACTTATTTGCAGGTTACGCCCGCATACAAATGGCTCTTCATGGCGTGCTACGTCAATTCCGTCAACTCCACAGCAGAAATCGTGACTGTTGTAGACTACAGTATATAATATATATTATAAGGGTCACATGAATTGGTTCTGCAGGATTGAACTCTTCGTCCTTACAGATGTTAGAAATAGTGTACTGCAATGGCAGCAATGCATCATGTGTAATCGTGCACCACTTTCAGTGTGGGACTATTTTCCCTTCAACATGCTGCACAGACTCACACTAGTGCACAGCAGCCGCAGCTATCGATCTTTGCACCCGCCATCATCACTTAAAATCACCACCGATCTTGCCATTGCATTTTCTCGTGCTGATCAGACAAGATCGCTAAGGTGAGGGTCTTGTTAGAACTTATGGTTATCCACCACTGAAGGTTTGAATTGCTTTCAAACAGGTTGCATCACCAAGTGGTAGTGTCCAGCGATTTGACTTCTGTAAAATGGTTGATTCATCTAGCTAATTCTTATCATTAGACTGTATCGATCGTATCATGCGGTGATTGAAATTGAGGAGTGGTAGTGCATCCGCACCTACATGCAACACCTCATGGGGGACCTTTTCTAAATGTATCACTAACCTTGTGGTGGATGGCTTTACTGCCTTACGATCTGGGTTCTGAATTGAAACCCTGAGGATAAAGGTGAGCTGTTCGTTTCTCAAGCTATTATCTATATGATGGCAATCTAGAAAGCTGCATGGATAAAATTCACTTTAGTCTCCAGGTATGTCCTTCATTGAGCGAGATTTCCCCCCCCCCCACCCTCACCCCCACCAAATTATAGTGCTTTGCAAGCTTTTATTGATAAAAAACAAGACGAAGAAGACCAATTTCGCCCACACCCTGTCAATCGTCTGACAGGCGCCAAACTTGTATGTCGCAATTTTACTGTTTGCTTCTCTCATATCATATAACTCATATCACCACCATACAGGCTATTATATGCTGCATGAATGACCTTTCATCGATGCCCTACCCCACTCCACTACATTGTCACCTGCAATATATCACCCTCGAGCTTCGCATACATTGGCATTGTCTGGGGTTTCCCAACACAGTTTCTGGGGTTTCCCGGAAAGAACACTTATATAGACAGACAGTTCTGTCATCAAATCATCAACACTACTACCACAAATGCAAGGTCAACGACGCGGTGACCTGCACCAAACCGGTTCGGTGCATGGACGACTAATGCTCTCTCACGAGCCCGATACCCTAGAAATCATTATGAACAATCTTCCTTTACTTTATGGTTCAGACTGCAGTTCAGATAGTATTTTCATTTCTCAGACAGACTCAGATAGGCTGAATATTCTTGTATATTTAATTTTGCAATAAATTCTGCTTAGTCAGCAATAACAATGACTCAGACTGAATCCCACACATGTCAAGTAACAGTGTAAAATAGTTCTTGCATAATTTGCCTTGTGGGAACTTTCTTAACACTCTAAATACACAGCTCGCGTCATTTCTACGGTCAATAAAGTAACATCATAACAAGACACCAACAAATAACATAATCAGTCTGTTACTTAATATTTGTCACATGATACTAAGTTATATGACTCTAACAGTCAGGTGACCTATGACCCTAAACCAAATCATGACAAAGCAACCTTTTTGAGATGACTAAAGCTTGATGACACAAATTATAAAGCACATGACTACAGTAAATAATATTGGTACAATCTGACTAAGCCTATTCCCCTTAGAACGTGGGAAATAGTAACACAGCCACCATAATTTATCTATATAAGACCCCACTTTTTGCCAATAAAAGGAGGCAGATAGGGAACTTTTAAGCCCCACAAAATAAATTTGAGTGTGAAGTGTGATCAGTATCAACAACAGTGACAAGAGCTGTTAAGCAACTAACTGAGAGGTCATTGTAAGCAACATCCAGCAATACCTTTAGCTCATCGTCAACAACTGTGAAATATCTTGAGCTCACTGTGCTCAACAGTGAGCAAACTTTTTCTTTGATTTTCTACTGGTGAACCTCTAGTCTCTTTCTTTTCTTTTCTTTCTTCTTTCTCTCTTTCTTTTTCTGTTTCTTTCTTTGTTTCTTTCTTTTCATTTGTCTCTTTTTCTGTTCAGTTCGTTCACGTCTCAGTGTTATTGTCTGAATTTGTTTCAAGATCTTTGTGTTGTCTTTACGTCCATCTAAGCACCGGCTTAGTGGGAAGACTTCAGAAGTTGATAGTGACGCTTGACCTCACTCATCTGAGTAGTGATACTGAGCCAGGGTTTTCTTTGTCTGCTAGACTTTAGTTGTTGAATAGGGGACTTGGTACTGAAATCCAAGGACGTCCGTTCCTGATTCTGTTTAATACTCATCGTGAGTTCCTTGGCAGCAGGTTCAATAGTGAACTAAGAGTTCTACTGATCACTGATTAGTCCTGACCTTTGATTCTACCTGTTTGTGCTGAGGGGGTGATTGCTATAATTTTGCATGACTTTCTGTAGTAAATTTATTACAAGAAGCATTGTTACTGAGGGAAGGGTTTCTCTTATCAATCTATTTCTTTTTCTTATCAGTACCATACTGTTGGGCTGACTTTTCTCTGTTCTCTAAACACTGCCATACCGTTGGAGTGAATCAATTTCTTTTTGTCATCACCATACCGTTGGGCTGACTACATTCTGTTTATTTTATTTTCTATTGCGTCCATACTGTTGGATTGACTGGTATTGCTACTGACCTCACAGGAAGTACTTTTGTCTGAACATAGCTTGGGGAAGTGTAAACAGCCACCCACGAACAACCACGTTATCAGTCATTGGTATTTGTCTGAATCACTGACCGTGGAGATTTTTGATTTTGTAGGTGTTTATCTATAGATCATCTATCTAAGAAGACAGCGGGCAGAACAAGAGGCGGACAGCTGCCTTGCCTGCTGTTACTGCTATCCCCACTGCCTCTACTGCTATTCCTGCTGCTGCTGATTTCTCCACTGCTGCTGCTATCCCTGCCACGATCCCTACCACTATTCCCGCTGCGATCCCTGCTGCTGCTGCAGCTAATGCCACTACCCTTCAAAACCCCGTCGGCGACAGCTTCCTGTTAGATACAGAACCAGTGATGCAGCTCATACTGGTCCAGATGAGGGTGAGGTCTTTGACCTCGACAATGTCTCAGGGGATGAAGAGGAACCGGAAAATCTTCCTGTGCCCGTCATCGCTATGGCACCTGCGGGCTCTAATCCGAGCCCACTCCAGACCGTTAATAGCACTGTTCGCACTGACCCTTTGGCCACTGGCAATCTAAAGCAGTCTAAAGGGCCAACCAATATAACTCACTTCTACCGGATTGACTCTGATACTAAGAGCAAAACTTGCATCCCTTGCGAGTGAGTACCGCATTTGCAATCTTTCATCGTTTCTCACACCCATCACCAGAACACTGCATAATATCGACACAACGCACAAGGTCATGGTATATGCAGGCTCCACATCCAGTACAGCTCCCCACACGCATGCTTTCACTCACCACACCGAACTTTATTTGGAAGCAGCAGAGTGTTTTGGCTGGCGCATACAGATAAAGGATCTAAACGAACGACTAGCTGAGGGCTGGTCACTGATGACAATTCGCGAACGACTCAAGAAATCGCCTTGCACAATGCAATCACTTGGTCCCCCCCCTAACCAGGGAACTGACGCATTGCTGGTAGGAACCGGCTCTCCACATGATGTAATTCCGGACTTCATGCTTGATGAAATGCATAGTCAAATTGTGAAGTTTATTGTTGCCGATGATCAAGTAAGTCACAGTTTATGCCTACAGCCACTATTAATAATTGCCCCCAGGCAATAAATGTGATTGAGTGCCCTGAATTTCGGCGCCTCATACGTCTCCTGCACCCAGATATTGGCGAGACTGGCCTATTTCATCGCACGAAGGCTCGTGAGATGGTCATCGAGCAATGGCAGGAATACTTCCTGGCATTGAAGAAAGATCTTGCTGTAAGTGTATAGTTGCCAAGCGTCCTACGAAGTATCTTATTCCTTTTAGAATGCGCAGGGAAAAGTCTGCTTCACATCTGACCTGTGGTCAGATCAAAAGCTCCGGCTGTTCATGGCCCTTACAGCTCATTGGATTGCCAGGTCCAATCAAGGTTCAATGCTTGTGTTGAAGACGGCCCTCCTTGCTTTCCACCACATCCCAGGAAATCACGATGGTCAATCTCTTGGTTCCATGATATTATATCTCCTCGATCGTGCAGAAACTACGGCTAAGGTTGGTACTCATTTGTATTGTGTTGCGTGCTCTCACATTGTTCAGACCGGCCATTTTACTCTTGACAACGCGGCCAACAATCATACCGCAATGCAGGAGCTTTCTACACTACTTGGGCAATGCGGGATCGACTTTGATCCGGTTGAACACAGGATACCATGTTTCCTGCACGTGATAAACATATGCGTGAAGCATATCATTGACGAATACCCTACTGCTGACTATTCTACTGTGTCCGATACGTGGACAATCGAAGATCAGGTTATCGAGAAAGTCGATTATGTCCAGGCCGTGCAAACCAAGCCTCTCGAGCGAGCCAGGACAATTGTGTGATTGATCCGTGCATCAAATCAGTGGCGCGACAGGTTTCGTGACTGCATCCTTAAGGGTAATGAGGATGGTTGGTTTCGAGATGACAAGGGTGACTCTATACAGCTCCCGGTCGTAGAACTCCTCCTCGATGAGCCCACTAGATGGGACTCGGCATACATCATGATTAACCATTTGCGGACACTGCAGCAGGTAAGATTGCACATCATAAAACATACGTCATAAACTAATACTGGCTCAGGTGGTAAATGCCTTTTTTGATGCTTGGCCTCAATGCAGCATATCCAACAAAAGATTGAGTGATGTTGATTGGCAGTTCCTTCAGGACCTGGAAGTCATCTTGGAG